GGTTACACTATAAAAATGTTTGTCATAACCATGTCTTGTGATTATTTGACAGGAGTTTTATCTTTACAGTGTAAGTGTATTTAATTTAGTTATGTTAGTTATGATAGTTGATGTAAATACAATAAAAATTAAACCAAGATTTAGAATAATTATCATTTTGATCCATATATTGGTAATGTCTGACTGGGCCTCGTGCCACTTTATGTTCAACAAATTGGGCCCCGAGGTCAAAAAGGTTAAGAAGTCCTGGTCTACACTCCAGAAAAAATAAAAACTCTGACACACGACATTATGTGTCCACAAATCTCTCCCATTAAAGCTGCACAGTTTCTGTCAGACAGATTCTTCTGTGCTCAACGTCTGTTTAATCTCCATCCAGGAGTTTTTGTTCATTTGACTCTTTATAAATGTCTGCTTCCAGACAGTAGTTAAAGCTAAATGTAGCGTCTGAGCTCTTTCAGCAAAAACAAACACAGCCACTAACTCCTGACCAATCATGCAGGAAGTTCTTATGCGGAGCGGGGTGAAAAGTTTCGGTTGTGACAATCCGATCAGATTTGAGCCGTTCTGACGGAGCATACCGGACGCCTAATTAATTCAAACGTTCGTGTTCAGGGAATCCTCCAGTTGTGTTCTCAACGACACCGTCAGTTTGTCTAACACAAACAGACGGTGTCCTCTGACTCGAGGGTCATCACCTCTTCTATCAACTCCTACCCAGTTTCAATTTCTGCCTCCATTTTGACAATTGCTGCCTCGGGATGGCCACGTGGAGCGCGCTGAGGGGAACAGATTGGTGGGATAATTACATACAATAACCAGCGCTGGAGAMTGTTAGCCTTTCAGCTGGAAACATCTTGTGCCTGGTGGCATTTTCAGTACTGTATGTACGGAGAGCAGGTGTCACAGAGAGAGCTGCAGCTACAGCAGCAACACAAAAAACTATATTGTAACACAAAAATGTAAAGAAAACCTATATTTTAAAGCTAAAATGAATGTAATTTTGAGGTTTAAGGAAGCAATATAGTGTGGGACGAGGACCAAAATTAAGATTATTGCGTAACCAGGGGTTGCTACTGTATATCTATTCCTAAACCTGATCTGATCTGATTAATGAAAGGCCGGCACCGGGAACTGAAAGGCTGGTGCTGGTAAATGACAAGGAGACTATTCAGCAGCAAGACTAGCGACTAGCATATAAATAAGCTGGGGTTAGCAATGGAGAGGCTAGCGACTAGCATGGATAAGCTGGTGTTAGTATTGGAGAGGCTAGCGATTAGCATGGATAAGCTGGCATTAGTATTGAAAAGGCTAGCGACTAGCATACCTTGGCTACTCACTTACTTTATTAGACATAAACTTTTACAAATAAAGAAAACTTTCTCAACAAAAATCTTTGACATACCAAACCTATAAGCGACATGCACCGACACATGTTCCTTAGACAGAATTTACTGTTTAACATGACGTCAAGAATAAATACGTATTAAACATAGTCGCTAGCCTCTCTAATGCTAACACCAGCTTATCATGATAGTTGCTAGCCTCTCCAATGCTAACACCAGCTAATCCATAATAGTTGCTAGCCTCTCCAATGCTAACACCAGCTAATCCATAATAGTTGCTAGCCTTTCCAATGCTAACACCAGCTTATCATAGTTGCTAGCCTCTCCAATGCTAACACCAGCTTATCTATGCTAGTTGCTAGTCTCTCCAATGCTAACACCAGCTTATCCATGAAACTTGCTAGCCTCTCCAATGCTAACACCAGCTTATCCATGCTAGTTGCTAGCCTCTCCAATGCTAACACCAGCTTATCCATGCTAGTCACTAGCCTCTCCAATGCTAACACCAGCTTATCCATGCTAGTCGCTAGCCTCTCCAATGCTAATGCAAATGGCTAGTCTCCTTCTCATTTGCCAGTGCCGGCCTCTCAGTTAGCGGATCAGTAGCTGGTTTAGGAATAATACAGCCTTCTGCTACAAGTAGTAACTGCTTGTTGTGCAACTGTCTTAATTTTAGCCCTCATAACGCACCATGCAGCAACACACTTCCCACAGTCGCAGCAGAGGAAGATCTTATCTTCTGAGCGAGGAGCTTGACGTCACTCCAGATTTCAAACTGATCTRTTTACTGACGGACAGCTGGACCCTGAGCTGGCCCCTGACTGTCTCAGCGTGTTGGTGTGTCCTGACCTTGACTGCAGGTGCCGGCGCTCCTCTGACAGGTGAGAACTCCAGCTGGTTGTCATCTTTGGCCTGGATGGCCTTTAGGCCGTTCTGCAGGATGGAGCGCAGCTTCTCGTACGGCGGTTTGTCTTGATATCCCAGAGACTTCACCTCTTCCATGAACCTCTGGATCTCATCTGGAATAAGATGATGCACAGGGTCACGATGAGCTGACAGCCAGTCGTCAGATAACTGCTCACAAAGGGTTTGATTTATTAAGACATAAAAAAACTGTGAAAAACCAAAATAATATATTTTTCTCTCCATACAGCCAGTAAAAAGCTGCAGTCCAGCCTTGCATTCATTCTGCTCTGGCAGTAAACGCGTTGTGTTTATGCAGATGAGCTTGTATTCAGAGATAACCTCGAAGCGCCGCCGTGTTACACGCCGCCCCTGTTGTCAGCGTCACGTCGGGCTCTGGTTTCAGCGCCGCGCTTCCTTCTGTTCGGAGTGACTCTCCTCAGACGTGACACGCGGTCGCACACAAGCACACAGACGGAGTTGTAAACAACCGTTTTGTTTGTGCTCAGCCAAGCAGAAGGAAGGAGCTGCGACTTCTCCTCAGTCTGAAGCGACACGCTGCCTGCAGGTCAGAGAATCGGGACGCCCCTCGCCGCGAGGAGACCGCGAACGTCACGACAGCCGTTTACAGCTGGAACTAAAGTTTGCTGCGTGTTTACTAGACGTCCGTCTCGAATCCACCGTCTTTGCTTTAAACGACCGTGAAAACATTTCAAGTGCAGCTTGTCATCCCTACCTGGCTTGTCCTGAGGGGAGAAACACTGAGACATAAACTCTGTGATGTTCTCCCGACTCCTGTGAAAACAAAAAAACAAACATTTAAATTCCACCCAGGAGATTSTGGAGCTTAGATTCTTCCTGCAGGTGTGTTTGTCCTCACCTGATCTTGGAGTCTCTGACGTACTGGGGGTCCTGCAGCCTGTCCTCCCACGGCAGCCGGCCACTCAGCCACTGAACCATGCAGTAGCTCAGGATCTCCAGGTCGCTGCGCCTGCATGGAGCTGCAGCCAGACAAGYACATCAGCCTGCAGACTGTGTACAGCTGAAATATAACCCAATCAAAACAGTCTAATATAGTTAGGAACTGCTTCATATCAACTTTCCAGAAAGAAAACGTTTATTTGCTTTGTTTCCCATTTTGAGATGAGATCAATATCAACGTGATTCCAGAGAACAGAAACTCAGACACATCATCACTGATCCATACAGCAGCTGCGGAGGATTATTTGATTCAATCTTTACATAATAAACAACCATTTTTATTGACTTGGTATGGAGGTAACAAATGACACAATCCTGACGTAAAGAGTCACTGATAAATACTTTCACATTGCTGGAAGCTTCTCATGGTGCCTGTAACGACTGAAGGCAGCTTCTTTTTGTTTTTCTCTTCACGTCACAGGAACTGCAGCAGATTGTATCTCAGAGATGGAATTTGATGTGTTTTTAGCCTCCGACACAAGAAGAGCTTCCCTAACATGGTGTGAACGGTGGGAATGAAACCAGAGACAATGATCCTAATGATGGTTTTTTTACCCCTAATTTACACTGAATGCGGTTCCGCTCCTCCGCAGCAAATACGCAACCATTAACTAATGAGAGTATTTATTTTATTACACTGGCTCTGTACGGCGATCCACCAAAATTAGATTTGATCCTATTTTTACTGGACGTCATAGCTGTTCTGGAGTCGCTTTACAAAGATCACRTCGCACAAACAGGAAAAGGAACTAGCACATCATCCGTATTTTCAAAATAATTCACCAAAGGCTGACTATTTTTTGTGGAAATCCCAGTTATGTTAATAAAAATATGGGTATATTTCTACACAAACGCTGTCAAAATGTAGCATGAAGCATATGTAGACACACATGATGCACGTGGATTTTATTTTGAAATCAGAAGTTTCAAAAAGACGACAGCAATGCAGGWTCAGCTGTTTGGAGTCTGTCTTCCACAGAATTAATTATTTTGCTCTGACTTCCACWTTTATCACTGGATTATTGCGTTTCTTGAACCTTCTCTGTGCTTCACACCGGAGCGGAGGCTGCAGCTAACGATTATTTTAGTAATCGATTAATCTATCGATTATTCTGATGATTATTCGAGTAATTACTTGAGCTCATTTTACTAGAAATACAATTATTTAATATTGTGAAGAGGTAATCTACACTTGCTGATGACTTTGCTGCAATCAGAGTAAAACTACAATACCAGTTGTATTAATTCATGCATTACATGAATTATGCTAGTGGACGCTGTGTAAATTGGGGAGCAAACAAACAGCGGTGAACTGAGCAGAACTGCATCTAGTGTAAATTAGGGGTTAGGCAGATTTAGACTTTTGTTTCTAAAAAGCCTCAGAGAAGCATTAGAGCTGAAAGTAYCTGATGTTTGTCATTTTATTCCATCAGACTGATCTACCGTATTTATTCACGTTATAATACGATCGAGTATAATACGATCATCATTTTTTGATCTTAAAAAGCATAAATATGGAAATATCAATAACCCGTGTATAATACTATCCTCCCACTTTATGGATGATTTTAAAGATTAAAATTCTAGTATTATAAATGAATAAATACAGTATGTGGATCAGTCCTGAAACCTCATCTTCTCTTCTGTATAAAATTAACTTATTCATTTATTTTTTTCATCTACATCTCAACAAACCATTCCATGAACTAACAGATACTCTGGTTCATCATCAGTGACCCATTTGAACCTGCAATAACTGATGATAAAGTCTTCTGACATCAACATGTCCTTTATGATTCTGTTGTAGGTTAAAGTCTAGTTTTATTTATCAGCTTAAAAAAAGAATTTAAAGAAGTAAAAATGCTTCAGAACTCAATCTGTCTCCAAGATGAACCTTCTTCGTTATAATTAAACATGTCAGTTGTGCCTTCTGGTTTGGGTTTTAGACATTTGGGGGTACCTACATACTCCTTTGTGGGCGTCGATGCTTGTGAACTCGATGGTGCCGTCGTGACATTTCTTTGGATCTTCTTTGTACTCTTTGAGGTTGCCGTCGGGTGCGTACCTGTACGTCAGCCCAAAATCCACCAGGTAAACCTGCGACACAGCAGAGACGGGTTTCAGCTCAGCACTGGTTCATTTCAACCCATGTGGGAGGTAAAACTGTGGTGCATGATGGGATAAAGACATAAAGAGCTCTGTTAGAAGTTTAATGTTGGATCTTTATTCAGTCCCTTCATCTGTTCCTGGAAATAAACACATTTAGTTTGGTCACAAACTCTGCTTATACATTTTAAATTTAAGAACAAATAACCAATATGACAAAAACAGTGTGTAGATTAAGTTTGTTACTTTATGATTTGGATTTCATGATTGTGAAACAAATACTTTTACCTTACCTAAAAAAAAAATCACATTTTATCTTTTTTATCATTGTTTTTTTCAGCTGCAGAACTGAGCAGCTTTAGCAGAATAAAAATTAAATTAACAAACAGCCACCCTACCTAATGCTAAAATCCTGAGGGGCTGATTTTTAAATTGTCATTTATAATTAGCTCTTTAATAACAACACCACTGATACATTATTAATCTCCAAATTAAATATTTGCCCCTGCCCCCACCTTGTTTAGTGGAAAAACCACTTTGCTGTTGCCTTTTAATTTCCCAGTTTTTACACACACACACACACACACACACACACACACACACACACACACACACACACACACACACACACACACACACAC